CCCCGAAGGTCCAGACGCAGCCCAACGTAGGCCGCCACAAGTTCTCCAAAAAGACCCCTAGGCCCAACCCTCAGAGCCAATCCTTTTCCCGAAGTTACGGATTTCAGAAATGGAAGAAGAAGCTTCGGAAGGTATTTGGTGCAGTCGGTATCAACGCTGCAAAGCTGCCTTTGAGTCGACCGACCGTTCTTGATGAAGATCCTTCCAAGATTCCGCTTCCGCAAACACCCGTGAGACTCGACCATACTCCTCCGACCAAGCGTGGAGCTGACCGCGGTGCCTTTTGGCACTACCGAGGCTTCACCGTACTTTCAAGACTCGCACATGGTTACGCCACGTTCGGATAGCCGTATGCAACGTGTTTACGCTGGTAACGAGGGTTCGGTCGGTCGCCGAGGCGGTGCGCGAGCTCCCAAATGTGGTGCCGGACGTCGTTAAATCGACAGCGACGGTTCATCAAGTGACGATGACATTTTGGCGCGTACATTCGACGAGGAAGACCCTCAACTCGTGTTGATGCGTCGGATGAATGAGCTGGCGACGCTGAACGACGTGGACCCCGACCACCGAAGGATTGAAATGGCATCGCACCGACCGTTGGATCGAATCAGGCCGTTCTCAGGCTCTCGCAACAAGAGCGAGAACTGTATGCAGTGGCTCCGTGGGTTCGTCTACGAAGTGACTGAAACCCACACAGATGCCGACAAATGGTGCATTCCATTTGAGCTTAGTCTCCAGGACGGAGCCATCCATTGGTTCCGTCAACTTCTGAAGAAGACGAAGCGCAAGTGGAAGCTGCTGAGCGATGCGTTCATCCGATACTACTGCTCGTAGTTCACGCAGACGGCACTGTCCCATTACTACTCTGCAAAGCGGGAACGTAACGAACATCTGTGCGACTACATAAACAAGCTGAATGGCTACGCTCGAACCGCCCGTCTACACTTCGAGTCGGTGGTCGCGAAAGAACACGTACAGAAGTTCCTTGCGACATGCGATGATGACAAGTTGGCCGAGAGTCTTTACCACGCTCGAGTCGCCGACATTCACGAGCTCGAAGAGATCATCGAAGATGTTCTCAAGGGCAAGGAGAGAATGGCTAAGCGTGACAGTGCTGGGCAACTATATAATTCTAGCGCCTGAGCTGCTTAAATATGAATCTGAGAAATTGAGTGTGCATTTGATTATCGTTGTACAATCTGCCATAGGATCTGGTTTGCTGCTCATTTTTATCCTTTATCTGGACGTGACCCGATACTGGTGGTTCATGGAGCTACATGTACGATGATCCAGACAATGAGCCTGGCACTTCGGGCCAAACTAAAGAGGGCCATTTCTAGGGAGGGCCATTTGTAAAAAAAGGGATGTAATCAATTTAAAAAATACAGACAATTTCCCAATACTGAAACCAAGATGATTTAAACGTGTCCGTTGCATTTTTGCGTGTCCGTTGCAGGGCGAGCCCTTTTGGGTCGACTGTTCTTCTTTACTTAAATCAAGTTACAGATGACCGTGTCCGTTGCATCCCACCGTGTCCGTTGCAGAGGATAGATATGGATGGAGTTTATACCACAATGTTCTTGCCCGGGTAGACGAGATAGCATGCGAATACAATTTTTTGGTGGGAGATATTGATGAAGACGAGAGACCAAGTTATTTAACTGTATCGCACAAACGAAGCCGAGCATGTAGCCTTCTTCCTGTCCGCGTCTGGAGTGTGGAGTAAGCTCATTTCCACATACTCCAACTAGTGAGATAGTTCTCAGCCTAACTCATCAAGCCTCTACTTCGACATCCAAAATGGATCTAGCATCTCTGCTCAACGCTGTGTCCCCGACTGTCAACAGTCCAAGATTTTCGCCAACGTGTGAGTATACGTGCCCTTCGGTTTCCGCCCTCTCAGAAGCGCTTAGTGACCTCCCGCCTTTGGTGGAAGACCAAGCGAACGCAGGAGACGAACCTGGGCTTGGTACTCCGACTGAATCTCAAGTTGCTATGGATAGCGAGCCGAGAAATACTCGTGTGGAGACAAGGTCTATGAGTGCAAGTGGAATTTCCGTGGAAATAACCCCTCCGCCTGAGGATACGTACTCGTCAGAGGATGCCGCCATTGCAGCTCTGCATGACTGGACCAAGAATCATGGTTTTAATGTGACCAAGACGCGTGCCTTTACTTCAGCGACGGCAGGGGATGCAGTTTGGAAACGTGGTTTCGATTGTGAACGAGGTGGCAAGCCAAAGTGTACGCAGCATCTTAAAGATGAAGACCGGAAGCGCCCCATGCGAGGTTCCATGCGTATTGGTTGTCCGATGAAGATAATAATCCAAGCCGTGGACAAGTCTGACCCTACTGGGGAATGGAAAATTGTACACACGAGGAACGGAAGTCGTCTTCACAACTATCCACCGTCAGAAGACGCCAGAGTTCATCCAGGTCATCGTCAACGGGCCGCAGCTTCCAATAGTGCGACGCAATTCTCGTCGACACGAACTCGCCACCAAGACCGTTATGGAAGTTCTGTTTAATCGGCTGGAGTCAGATGGATTTTACTACCGATATGAAGTGGATTTGGAAACACAAAGGGTCCTTTATTTGTTCTGGGCTCATCCGGGTACGCTGGAACAGTACCGACTTCACTGT